AAAACATTTTAGAAATAGTTGTCACTATAATTGATTAAAAAGCCAACTCAAATGGTAAAAACTAACAACCTAAATGGTGAATCCTAAACTCTAACACTTCAAGTGACTGTATTTTCATCATCATTGTTTTATTAATTTATTTTTATTATTTAGATTTCATCAAATTATCCATTTTATCTATTTTTCTTGAATTATTAATTATGTAAATTAGTAAAAGTGCAACTTCCTTATGTGTTTGACACCTGAAATACTTCGGTTAACTTATTATTGTGATCTCATACACTTGCAAAAACGATCACCTTTTGTTTGAAATGTACAAGTTTCTCATATGTATATATAACAAAATGTCTATATATAATATGACAAGATCCAAATATTAACAATACAATGCCCATCATTGCACATAGTCCATGTGCTTTAATTGAATAATAATGTATAAATTTTTCAAGTGTATAAACAATACAATGACTACATATAACATGACAATAGCCATACATTAATAACATAATGTTCGTCCATTATGCATAATCGGTGTGGTTTAGTTGAACAATAACGTATAAGTATCCTAAATAAATTAACAACATAATATTCATATATAATATGATAAGATTCATGAATTAATAACACAATACTCATTCATTATGTACAATATATGTGATTTAGTTGAATAATAATGTGCTAGTAGTTTCTAGATGTATGAATGACTAAACATCTGTATATAATATGATAAGGTTCACATATTAGCAATATTGCACAAGATTTTTTTTTCAAACGAAGGACAAATAAGTATTTTCACCAAAAAAGCATATTTGCATATATAGACTTTGAGTGTGCAGAATAAATTCAACATATATTTGGCTTGAGGTGCTAAGTTATTTGATTTGGGAGCCTCAGATGCCATTCTCTCTTTTTCCTTTTAATCTCTCCAATTTTACATTTTAAGTTTATTTAGTGTTGGCCTCAAATCAAACTCCAAAAAAGTACTTCCTTCTTTTAAGGAAAAATAACATTTAAGAATTCCATAAGTATATTAATTACAATTAGAGACAATGAGAGATTGAAATCTCAATCATAAATCATAGCCCTTATTTGAAATTTAAAACATATAAGCTTAAAGTTAAGAAAAGACACAACTAAAATTACCATTATAGGTTAAAACTATAATAGTAATTTCAGTAATATAATCCCAACCCATAACACTTAAGATCATGATTTTTTCAATTTAGATTAACAATAGGCTCAACTTATTATAGTCATTTTAGTAGTGTCTTTTCTTTATTTTTTAAATGATTTATCTATATATTGACAAGTATAAAAATTTATAAGTAATTGACTTCATATTCAAAAATAATTTTAATAAATTTTCAAGTAACTATCATATATTTACAAATACCTTTTGAAAGTTTTATAAGTGAATTTTAATTTTATATTAAAAAATAGTCCATTCTCAAATGTGGATCTTGCTATCTTAGTTTTTTTTTAACTAAAATTAACAATAATTCTAACTCATAATAATAATAATTTCAGTAATATCTTTTTATTTTAAATTTATATGTTTTTAATTTAAATAAGGATCATAGTTCATTATTAAAATTTCAATATTATAGGATCCTTAGTTGTAATTAATAAACTTATATGATCCTTTATTGTTATTTTCCTTCTTTTAATATGGTCAAACTCTTTCTGTGCCTTTCAAGCTTTTTACACGGCCTCCCTTTCATTTCATTTTTGCTTTGTTTTTTGGTACCAAGGCCTGATGTAATTTCTCTCTTATTAATTATTAATGAAATTTCTCATTCACAAAAAAAAGGAGTCTTTTAAGGATCTTGCATTGAGATTGAAAAATAATTATGATTAATATGTAAAAATATTTATTATATTGCCAAAAATTATAGTATGCCTTTTAAGGTTTCTGCCCACAAATTTTTTTAAAAAAAGAGCAATTAATACATAGAAATATTGATTACATTGATTAAAAAAAATATTAACTTCATTATCAAATTAGTCCAAAAAGCATAGTAAATATATAATCTACTAATATAAATAAAGATAAGACATTAGGAAATAAATACAAAGTTTATTTATCAGTTAAATAAAATTTATTTCATAATAATATTAAAAAAAGTAATGGTAAGGAATCTTTCCTAAATTGGAATGATAAATTATAACACTTATTTTCACAATGTCATATAACTAAATTCTACATCCCTTGGGCCTTCGGTCTCCTTCATGTACCCAAAAAACATCCCGTGCCTGGGAGGGTACACATGACCGGTAAAAATTAATAAAAATTAAATATATAATAAATTAGAGAAAATTAGTTTAATGACCTTAAAAAATACAATTATCATAAATTATGGATGAAATTTTTAAATATTTTAAAATATGGCCCATTCATAAAATCAATTAAATACATTTTACTTTTTTATCCTCAGATTAAATTTATTACCAGAACACAATATATCTATTATAATTAACCCTTAACTAATTGAATCTTTTCTTTCTTTTTCTCTAAATCATTCCTTTTTTTTTTGCTTTGAATATAAAATTGTCAGTGCCTTTCTTCATCGTAGAGCATTTCTTCTCTCTCTCTCTCTCTATTTTTCTCAGGAATACTATGAAGAGAACATTAGACATTGAAAAGAAATCTTCATTTGTGGAAGTAGAAGACTAGGCTAAAATCTAGTATCTGTCATCTAATTTTTACCATCTTCATATCGCTTAATAACATCGAATTTTTTATGGACTAAGTTTGATTCATTTTGGACAAATAGTTATGTATTTTTCATGTTGTTAATTTGCAATATTGCATCATTGATATACGTATATATATATATATATATATAAATATATCAATAATAAATAAATTTATGTCTGATTGTTTAGTTATATGGATCTACGATAGTATACTAGTGATATACAGTAGTATATCCATGATGCAGTATCACGAATTAGTAACACAAAAAACACATAATCATTTGTTCAAAATGAATTAAATACAATTCAAAAAAAATTTTAGACTCTTAATTTATCACAGAGAATTAAATACTTAAATTAATAAAATAAAAAATTATGAATCTTTAGCTTTTCCACTAGCGTGCTCTGTTCTATCAAGTACCATCAATATATCTCACCTCACGTTTGTCTCTCACGATTGTAACCATAGCTCGCTCACACTGCTCTATTGTCCTACGTTCATCCCTCTCGTGTCCAATTACGTCGTGTTTCTTACATTTATCTCTAAAAAAAGTTATTTTAAACTATATATCTTAAATTCATTGCATTCAGTTCTAGAGATTTTTTGCATTTTGAATTTTCTAGTTTTTTGCAAAATGCAAATATTAAAAGGACAATTTTATAAATTAATTATAAACTAAATATTAAAAAGGTCATTTTTAAAATTTAAGAAAGAATATACTATTTTTTATTTGATCTTATAATATGGCCATATATGCAAAAACTTCCAATAAATTATGACATGATAATTTTACAAAAATTAATAGTCAATTATTTATTAAATATTAACAGTAATGCAGAAACTGATTTATTATTGAACAAATTATCTCATCAGTTTATAAGGAGAATGATAAAATTTAACTACCCATTGTTATTTAGTAAAATACGTAAAGCTCATCTATGCATGATTTGTTATATAGTCCAAAATTCACTATTAACAACAATTAATACGATCATATTAAGGATTTGTACAATAAAACTCTTGTGAATGCTATAATAAATAAATGAATTATGAAAATATATTCTGCAATGAAAATAAAGTAATTAGAAGGTGTAAAATAAATATAATAATTATATATACACATATATAAGTAATTATAAATAAATAACTATAACAATAAAACCATAAATAGTTATATTTTTCATTTCTAGATTTAAATAACTACAATATTAAAAGGTGTCAAATAAAATTGTATATCAGTAATAAAAAAATTGTATATCAATATAGACAAGTTTGACATTAATATAAAAGAGAAAACTGATCTGTTAATCCTCCAACTTTTAATTCACTTGTGACTCAGTCCCTCAACTATGATTCGCTGTGACTCAATCCCTCAACTATGACTCGCCTATAACTTAGTCCCTCAACTTTTGAATCACTTACAAATTAGTCCCTGAACTTTTGTTAATTTTTTTTTCATATTAGCTTATATCTCACATCAATGAGTAAAAAAAAGGTATTTTAGAATAATATATAAGCATTTTTTTATTCTTCTTATTTGATAAGAAAATTTAAAAAAAAATAAAAAATAAGGATCAAATTATAGGTAAATCAAAAGTTAAGAGATTGAGTCGCAGCGAGTTATAGTTGAAAGATTGAATCACAGCGAGTCATAATTGAGGGATTGAGTTACAAGTGAGTTCAAAGTTGAAAGATTAAAAATTAATTTTCTCAATATAAAATATAAAAACTACAAGAGCTAAGTTTCATGCAATATGTGAAATTATTAACTAAAGCTCAATTTTAATCCTTGTTAATTATTGACTCGTGAATATGTGATAGCTAATTCATTCCGGTTTGTTGTAGAGTAATTAAGTGATGTAACTATTTCAGGTCAAAAACAGAGAAAAACTTAATGATTTCCTTCTATGACCAGACCAATCATATATCATGAATTCCATTTATAGATAGTCTGGTGATTTACATGTGCTTGGCTCTCAATTTCAAAGGCTTCATAATTACGCACTTTCATGAGAAGCGTAGGATTCACATATATCATGAGTTAAGGGGGGAAAAAAAAGAGGAAAAAAAAACGTGTTCATGCTTCTTCACTTCTAGAAATCATGAAATTAACCAATCATCATGAAATATTGACACAACAAATTATTTTCTGCAACATAGATCATAATTCTTTGCATACTTGGAGTCATTACCAAATAATAATAAAATAAAAGAATTAATAAAAAAGATTTAGTCATCGTATTTTCTAGGCTATACTCTCTATTATAATTTTAATAGAATTTAAAAATTGTAACAGTTAAAATTAGCATGAGTAATAAAGGCTCTCATTACTTAAATGGTCGAAAATTTAAATCATAGTCTTCCTTGAGGAAGATATTATTTGCTGCCGGCAAAACCAACTCTGTGTACTTACTAAAAAAAAAAAGGAATAATAAATTGCATAACTTATTTTTAATATGTTACATTTATAGAGGACTCATGTTTCTACATTGTTGAAAAATCCAAGAAAAATATTTAATTTAACTCCCACTCTCAGATTTAAATTCAATCATTTTTTAATTGCTTCTCAATCCCACACACACGCGCGCGCACATTTTTTGAAGATAATAATTAGCATGTTGGTGGTTCAAAACACGTTTAACGCTTTCACGGCCACCCTAGAAATGTTATATACCTGATCAATGAAACCCCAGCTTGAGAGATGTATCAAAGTCCCCAGTGTATTGAGGAGTATCAGGCGAGTTGTTGGACAAAATCACTGAGTCAGATGATTGTCCTTGTTCATCTATCACCTGAAAACACAAACATTCTTATTTTTATCATTTAAATTAATGAGGTTTTATAGTATTCCAATCCGATAAAAGCGGGATCTGGAAAATTTATCTATAACCTGTTTTAATTTATCGTTCTCTTCCACCAATCGCTTTTCCTGAATGCCATAATAAAATTTGAGGGAGAGATCGAGGTCATAAATAGTATATCATATACTATCAAACATAAAATAACAAATAATTAAGATATATACTTTGCAAGCTTATGATAGTTTATTAGAAAAGCTAAAAATTGGAAAAAAAAATTAATTAAATTTATACTTTCCAAGCTTCAACTGTGAGGTTGTTAGGGCTATATATTGTAGAGGTTCAAAGCTTGATTGAAAAACAGAGTGGTAACATGCACATATATTGAGGTCTGACAATGACAACAGATACAAATTATGATATGATTTTTTTTTTCTTTTTTGAGTAAAAAAATGAACTGCAAGCATTGTGTGTCCAATATCATTTCTAGTCATGGAAGCTAAGCAGGCCAAGAATAAGACATCTATTTGTCAAAAAAAGTATGAACTGTGAAGTCATGAACCATCCAATGAGATCAATTCTGATAAAGTTCATAAGAGAAGTTATAGGAGTCAAATAGGTTTTCCGATCTGTTTCATACCAACAAGAAACATATCTCTTGAATGTTATCGTTTAATCAACAACTTGGTATTAATTGCGGCACATTTTTTGGAGGGACCTATATACGAGGTTGAGAAAGCAGAGAAAACCAAAATACTAAATACATACATACCTTATCACAGACCATTTTTTTTTTTTTTTTGGCTCTGGACGAAGAAAGTCAAAAGCAAGAGCAAGTTTTTTACAGCAGTTTCTTCAACCTTATGTACTATAATTATGACATTGAAACCGATAAGGAGATTTGAGATTTTTTGAAGTGAGAAAATGAAGGTAATGAAAGAGCCAAAGAGATGCAAATGTACTGTTATATATGATTGTGGGCATCAGTTATGAGTGGTTGGAACAAATATATATATATATATATATATATGAATGTCTACAAACACAAAGTCTAGAGGAATACACTGAAACAAATCATAATGAAGCATAAAATCTCATTCTATCCAATTTAGGAGTCATTCTTCAAGAATTCAAAGATGAATATTTCGCAATTTCAGAACAAACAATTACATTAAAACAATTCCAAGGTGAGTCTGAAAGTAAAGGCATGATCAGAAATACACTCCAGCCATTGTAAATCATCAGGGTATTGCTGATTGCCCATTTTGTGAACTTTATTGTTACACCATCTACCTAATAAAGCTACTCTCTCGTGCAATATTTTGTATCCCTTGATTGGGAGATAATCTCTGTAGTATTTTGAAGAGAGTTTTGGGGGAGCTTGGGAGAAAATACTAGAGCTAGTGAGAGAAGTCTTAGATGACCTTGTAAAACCTAGCGATAGCTAGTTTTGGAAGACTCTAGGAAACTCTAATTGGGGGTGAATTAGGAAACCTTGTGTTAAAATCTAATTGAGTAGTTGGCGAGTTTGTGAAAAGAATGCTTGCGTAATTAATTCCCAGTTATTGACACAATAAATTAATTTAGCATCTTTAGTTTTAATCAAAGCACTGTTATCACTCTAATTTACTTGGAGCAACTTAGTTATTCTAATATCCACAAAACTATTATTTATCATTATTACATAAATTAAAGCAATTAAAAATTATAATTGTAATTATATTACGTAAACAAGGAGATAACGAACCTTTCTCTTGAGCTGGCGGATCTCTTTTACAATTACTTCATCCTGAAACACATAAAGGATAATCTGATAAGATGAGAGAAACACAAAGATGATACTCCCTCCGTTTTCTATTACAAAAGAGACCGCCACATACTTCATTGTTTTTTTATTATAAGAGAAACTGTAAAATTCAAGAAACATTTATTTCATTTTTCAAATTGCCCTTATAAAATCAAATTAAGTTTATTTTCACAAAAGAAACTTTTTTCATTAATCATAAGGAGATTTTAGTCTAATTTTTTTAATTTCAGATACAATGATTGGAATTAACAAATTTTCTTAAACCATGTAAATTGGTTAAAATGCTAATATTTGAAAATGAAGGGAGAAGTAATTAGCAAGTAGGCATCAAAGGAATGTTCAGATGTGGGATAATAATGGAGGACTTGTTCCAAGCAGATCCCTCTAGTTTCTGAGGAAACAAACTAACCTTTGCCTTTGAAACACGCATCAAACTCATTTCAAGCAGTTCCTCTAGTTTTTGTAATTCTTGAACTGAGAATTCTTGCAACTCTTCCCCATTCAACTGCCTAAGTGGAAGAACCCTACTTCATCAATAAATACGGTACATCCACAGTACTAATTTTATTGTGCAGTGTATTTATTTACCTCAGTTCACGAGTCTTGTCTGCAACTTCACAGCGCAGCTTGTTGTAGCCTTCACTCCCAATCTGTACTGAATCTTCCAGGGGCAAAGCTATTGATGATTTTACATTAGGTTAGGCCTAACGAAACTTCACCTAAATAAAGGAATATTTGTGGCGTGCCGTGTGTGCACCTTTAAGACAAATTGAATCTCGAGTAACACGCAAATAGCCTTTTGGAGCATCAACATACTTAGGTTAAGTGAAAATTGATTTAATTGGTAAGGATACAATTCATATTCCATGAAGGCATCAATTCTAATCTTCTTGCTACTGATGTAAAAAAATCTTATTGATGGATTATCTATGAGTACCTCTTCAAGCATTTTTTGGGTCATGAGACCTATTTTGGCCTTGTTAAGTTTTGAAAACCCAACTCACCTAACCTTTTTTGTACACAAAAAGTACTATAGATGCTCATTATTGGTTGAAATTAGTGATTTTATGCTCACCGCAAATTAATATGATGAGTGATGAAAAGGTGAAATCCTACCTTGATGGATATGGTGAGATTCATTTTTGCAAGTTTTTTAAACCTTGTTTGCACCAAAGACAACTACGTACATAAACAGCTCCTGGTGTATTAGTCAAAACTTCATCTTCATTGTTATTCGACAAAATGTAAATTAGATCCACATATTCAAGAATTTAGGCACTTTGTTCATAAAAGATTGTTTCTTGTGCAGGAAGGTGTTTCAGGACAAGGTTCATTATAAATGACCTATTATTAGTGCTAAGGAAGAAGGATTTTTTTAGTGATATTTTACATATATGGTTCTCTTTCAAGAAGTTATATCAGTTTCTAGCATATCCAAATAGTTATAAACACGTAATTACAAAGTGTTTTTTTCAATTGCCATTTATAACGAAGTTTGATAATCACAATTACATGTAATTCGACTTTTAAACCCATGCCACAAATCAGCATTTGAGAAAAGCTGCAGAAAGGAAATCATAAACTTTACTCTTGCAAATTGATACCAGGTTGATCGGATCTGTGAAGGTCTAGATACATATCATGCTTTTGAGTTACCTGCTGCATACTGGAGACAGCAAAAATAATATCTCAGAATCCTTTTGATTATTTTTATTATGAAAAAAAAATAAAGAAATATGTCTTGTTGAATGGAATTTTGACATCATTGAATGTATAGCAACAAAATTTATAGTGCAGAATAAAGCAATGCCAGATATGCTCTTTCTTATGTCATTCACACTATTTTGTTATAGTTATACATATCATTTCATTCAAAAAGATGTCTACGTAATCAACACTTACAAACATAGAGATTATTCGCTCCCTCATTTGTGTTCTCTTTAGTGTTAATATATGTCTAGGCATTCTTCTTTTGTGCCACGTTTTTCAAGATTTCAACTAAAAATCTAAACCAAACATATCATTCAACTCATATTTGATCTCATTCTCTAAATGTTTCCATCATTAAACTTTTGGTGAACCAAACATATCATAAACTAGGCATTTTTCCATATCTTGAATGAAAATTAAGAGATCAAACGCACTGTTTATAGCTACGAAATAATTTTACTTGCTGTATATTTTATATAGTATAGATGATTGTTCTACATGAGCAGCCATGTCACAACAATTTAAACATACAAGTTTGTGAATAACTCAAAGAAGTATATTTTTTTAAGAAAAATTATCAAACATATATAAATGGATGTATTTTTTTTTTTTTTGGTTCAAGAAAACCTGGAATAATTTTTGATATTTTTTTAAGAAAAATTATTAAACATATATAATTGATGGTCGTTCTTTTCTTTGAACCATGTTTGTATACATAAGTTTGAACAATTTAATTTTTGAAATTGTGGGTTAGCATTTTGCCCTATCAATTAGCTTCCTGGCATGAAGAACTACTTTTGTTGGGAGCAAGGCAATGAAGATTGCTCTGCTGGTGAAGAACACGATGAGGTTCATTGATGGTCTTTATGTGAAAGCGGATCAAGATCCAACTCTTCATATCAATGGTTTTTATGTTGTGCTTGCATGGATAATTAATTTGGTGTCAAAAGATCACATATTTATTAGAGTGGCATTTAGGAGTAATAATGATTATAAAATGAGGGAAGACTTAGAGGAACAATTTGACACTGTAAACGGATTCAAGAATTTTTGCAATTTAACTCACTGGTTCAAGGTAGCATGAGTTTGTCTCTATACTAGACCATGATGAAAGAATTATGGGATGAATATTCAATCTTGACTTATTACTATCATGCAAATGCCATGCATTGAAGGCATATGCAAATGTGATGCAACAACAAAAAAGTTCCTTATAGATTTAAATGAAGTACTCTACCATCAATCAAGAAGTCCTTCTTATGATGGCCCTGTGCCTTTTGTGAATCTAGCTTGTTCAAAGATAGGATTGGGCACAAAAGGGAAGTCATAGTCGCAGGATTAGGTCCCTATGCCTATTATTGTTGAGAATTTGATTGCCAAAATTCCCTTTGATTGACCTTGATTGAATCACTATTAGCTTGAGCCTGAGCATTATACATATTTGTTCTTGCGTGTTTGTGTCTCCTTGTTGCTTTGTTTTCTTCTGTTCTAGTTTATATTCGTTATATTATTTGTGGCTGGAATTCACTAGTCTTTGGTCTTTTTTGCTCGTACTTTGAATTAATTTTTGTTTTCATCTTCATATATAGGTTATCAGTGCTGCAGGTGGTGGATTTGGCGATGATAATTGTTTTATAAATTCTAGTTATGCTACTTATACTTGTGAACCCCAATGTGAGTACATTTGCTTTAATTATTGTGGAGAGGGTATTACAGCAGTGCCCCCATGTCTCAATCTCTTAGATTGTGTGAGAAAGATTTTAATTTGCTAGGGCACAAACTACTGCATCTAATAACTTTTTTGACCTTAGATGGAATCATGTATAAACCCTATCTTGGGGTTGTAATTATTTTCTTTCCTCATATGTATCACATCCTTATACCCCACCTAATTCTTGTGAAGATAAAAATTATCCCCATTTACAAGGAGAAGCCTACAATAAAGGATATGCTCCAGCATATCCTAAATAATTAAAATGAAATGAGAGATTGGCAATAAAAATTTAATGAGCAAGTGTTAGCTCTTTGAAATTTAACACTTCAAGCCAAATAGCTTCCACCATTGAATCGTTGAAGCAAGAGGGAATTTTCAACAATATATCAAGCCCTACAATTGTAAAAGAAGGGACTTTGTGATCAATTGACTATAGAAAGTAGAAAGTGGAGACAAGTCACCGTTGTGAGTTAGAAATAATTGGAAGGGATAATAATCAGTCATCAATTGATATTTTAGCTAAGGACCTCAAACCTTGTTGCGTTTAGGAGGAGGATGGTGAGGAGATTCCAAGTTATCATTTGAAGAACCCTCCATGTGAGACATTAGCTATTACCTATAAGAGCTAAGTTGACTTGATTTGATATATTTGAAGTATCTGGAGACTCTGAACTTCAATTATGTAGAGTCACGTTTAGAGTCTCCTATGGAGATATCTAGTGCTTATGGTTTGATGATGCCATTGTTGGACAAACATATGCTCTTAATCGAATAAGTGCCTATTTCTTTTTGACGTAGTTGTACATGAAAAAAAGGGGAACAATATCATAGTTTCTCATACCTATGATTATTTACCCTTTACCAAGAGTTTAATTGAATACTGTAAACTTATTTCTTCTTAGGAGGCAGCCCAGACTCTTAATCTTAGCCTTTATTTATTTATACTTGTTGTTATTTCTTAGTTTTATCACACTGCTATCAAACCGGCAATGTTATATAGTAGTGAATGTTGGGCTCTAACGGGAAGCAAGAGCATAAAGTTAGAGTAGCAGAGATGAGAATGTTACGATGGATGTGCGGACATACACATAAAGATAAAATTCGAAATGAGCACGTACGCGAAAAAGTGAGGATAGCACCTATTGAAGAAAAAATGATAGAAAATCGGTTGAGATGGTTTGGGCATGTACAAAGAAGATCAAAGGAGGCACCAGTGAAAGAGTGGAACATATAACTTTGAGTCCGATTAAGAGGAGTAGAGGAAGGCCTAAGAGAACACTCTTAGAAGTTGTTGAACGCGATCTCTTAATTAATAATATTCTAAAAGCTTGATAAATGATAAGCACAATGGCGTCTTGCAATCCATGAAGCCGACCCCACCTAGTAGGATAAAGGCTTGTTGTTGTTGTTGTTGTTGTTATTTCTTAGTGGTTTTGTTGTGTTTTATGTTTTTTTGCTAGGATGAACATTTTAGGAAGTAGTACTTACAGTGTTACTTTCATCCAAGTATGCTTCATCGTGATGCATTGTACAAAGAACATATGTTTTGTGTTGCACACAAAATGTGCCATAGTGCATGGACAATTTGTTGTGACACACAAACAAAAAATGTTGCTATGCGTTTGAAGCTGAAAAACAAAAAGAGGGTTTCATAATAAGATATCCACACCTTGAGCATTCATTCATCGACTTTGGGATGTTTTGGGAGCTAAGTTCTTCTAGGATGAGTCCCACGTGACTCATATTACTTCTCACGTGTTTTCATCTTGCAATTGTCAAAATGGCCATCATTAATTTCTAGCTCATATCACCCTCCCTAGCCTTCATGTCAATTATCATTATCTCTATTTGATCTCCTCCTGTGACTTCCCACCACCTCCTCTAGCCAATCATCTCTATAAACCACCACTGCATCCTCCCAACTTCTAACTGAATTAGCACACAAACTCAGGACCATATCATGGAACACTTGGATCCTTGATCACCATCGATCTCATTAACCCACAAGATCTAGAATCATGGCAAATAATTTAGCAATTATAAGAGAAACTCTATAGCCACTCATTCTTCACCTCAACCCAAACCGGGTTCCTCTCTGATCGTGGCAACCAGAATCTAGATAACAAAGGCCACCTCACATCCACCACAACTTTGGCTCCAGCAAAATCTCGCAATATCTTCTCATCAACAACCGAAATCTTGATTAGCACCACCTCCCCAATCACCTCTGCCATACTACGAACAATATCCTCAATCATTCCTTCTAACAAAATATTGTGAAATTGCACACCTAGATGAACATGAATTGAAGTTAATCTCCGAAATCATTGAATATTGCGTCCATTCCTGAATATTCAATAGATGTCCATTGATTGACTACGGACGATTTTGTAAAATTCTCTCCCTCTTAGATTGTTTGAAAGTAAACTTGAATGTATTATTCTTCAGCTCTTGAATCTCAATGCCTTCTTCCAGGTTGATAAAGGGCAACTAGACAATAACTCACGATAATCCAAAATCCCACGACGTGTTATCTTACAAAAAACACTAATCAAAATAACCGCATGGTTGAAAGAAAATTCAGTTCATAAAATTTAATCAAGTTTTTTAAAAATAGAAATGGCTTAATTATTTCAAATAAACATCTTAAAATTTAAATGATGCAATCCTAACTAATCTAGAATTCTCAATGGATAGATCATATCCTTAATAGATATATTTTATCCTAATTTAAACTTAAACAAAATAAACTAATTTTCCTAAATTTAAATTTGAATCTAAAATAAGAAAAATATTGTCCTCATTTTAAGAAAGAATATTTGCTAAACTAAATGGACTCGTAGGCTTGAGTGTCTTGGGTTAGGCCTAATATACTAAAAGTCTATCTTGGATCTTCTAGAGCTCTATTTGCTTTTGGAACTTATTGATCATGTAGAACATTCCTAATTAATGAATTTAAAGCTTCTTTTGTCCTTTTGGCTCTAGATCTAATTATTGGTCCTTCAATACCCTACAATGGATCAAAGGTACTAAATGTTGGATTCTAACTTGTCTCTTAATTCCCATCATTCCCTCTCTCCTAAAGAGGATTCTTCCTCAAATCACATGTATTAAATAAAGAAAGATCTACAACATTGAATGTAGCTGACACATTCCCATAGAAGATAGGAAGGTGTATATTGTAGGCATTGTTATTAATTCATTCCAGCACTTGAAAAGACCCATCGCCTTTTGGATACAAC